GAAGTGTCACCGGACCCGAAACGTTAACTCTGATTTTTTTCTTCACAGATGCTGCCAGACCTACTGAGCTTTTCCAGCAACTTTGTTGTCATTGTTGTTATTTATGATAGCCGTGTTCTAATACGCTGTGTGTAGTCAGTGCAGTGAGAGAATATGCAACCTTTTGTTCATTACAAGCTCAGTTTGCAGTGGGTGTTCTGCCTGCGTGGTACCTTCAGCCAGGCATGTTGCAGCATCATCTGCTTCACCTTCTCACAGCCTCAGCGGGATACCTGCTTTGGGAACAGCAAGAAGATTTATGTATTTTTAAATTCAATCCTGCTCTCCGTCACAAAGTCTGTGAACACTCAGGCTAAGCATAAATTTACCTGTGAGCTGCACTAATGTGTCAGGTAGCAAGACCATAGGGAAACACAAAGCTCATCACTGGAACATCCCATGATAAGTCTCAAAAATTGTCTGCCTGGAAACGAGGAATGGAATATCTTTGTATGTGGGCCACCATTAATTGCTTTACAGATCACGAGTGGAAAAGGGACTACATTATTTTAAAATCAAAAAGTGATTTTAAAAACATGAAAAATTGAATGTATATAGCACTCTTAATGTCCTGTTATATTTCAAGTTGGATCCAAATTGACACTAAGCTAACATAGGAGAGACATTAGACTTAAATTAGACTATTGTCTTAAAACTATGAGCAAAAGGTAAAGAACCACAGATGCTGGAAATCTGAAACGAAAACAAAAATAGCTGGAGAAACTAGACAGGTCTGGCAGTATATGCAGAGAGAAATCAGAGTTAACGTTTCAGGTCCAGTGACTCTTCTGAACATGATTCACCAGGCTCGAAACATTAACTCTGTTTCTCTCTCCGCAAATGCTGCCAGACCTGCTGAGCTTCTCCAGTTATTTCTATTTTTGTGACTTAAGACCATGTCAAGGGAATGATGAGTGTCTGAAAGATGGAGAGAGAGGTGGAGAGGCAGAGGGGATTCAGGAGGGAATATTCAAATTCTTTCTTTCTTCCTTTGAACCTTGCTAAGTGCACATGGAGGATGCAAGAATGAAATGCAGGGTGTCACCCTTGAAACTGAGGTGGAGCAAGATTGAAATTCTGGAGGACATTAACTGCAGTGATCTTAGTAAAACATATTTCAATAGGAAATGTCAAGAAGGTAGCACATCATCATCTTCTCACAGAGAATTAGTGGTGGCGACACATCATGGGAATGACTAAAAGATACCACCCTTAGGGTCTGGGCAACACACAGAC